TTCATTATACGTTATTTTATGTTACATAAATGAACAAACTTTTAGATTTAAATTAAATTAGGATTCTGTTTAAACAAACTACATTATGAATATTCATGTATAATTATCAGGAGGATTAAAAGTCATGGATTAATCATTATAATGGATTAATCAAATAAAATTTATATTAGTATATTTATTAATCTCTTTATTTTAATATTTTTCATACTTTTAAAATTTTATACTTATAGTTTTAAAATGAAGATATGAATAATGAATTTCTTATAAAATTTTTATAAAATATTTTAAAATATCTTTAATTCTTTAAATCTTTATGTTCGTAAATATTAAATCACAAAAGATTCTCGTTATTTTAATTATACTATATCTTAAAATTTTTTTTTCTTAAAGCAAGATACATATTCATGACTTTCAATCACGACAAGGATGAATGTACTGTTATTCGAATTGTAAATCTTCGCAAAACTCAGCTGTATACTCGGTCTATATATGATATATATATATATATATGTATATGTATATGCGACATGTGTCGATAAATCGCGATGCTCTTCGACGAACGAGAAATATCTGTGAAACTGACCAAAAAAATAACATAAAATTTTAAAAAAGTGTGAAATGAAATCGAAAAGAAATAAAAAGAAAGAAGAAAAAGCGTTTAATGAAAGAACGAAAAAATGGAAAAATCGTAGAGCGAAAAATAGAAAAAAAACAAATTAAAAACTAAAATTAAATAAACAAAACGTTCAAGATTCTAGTTAGAGATTCTAAAAGAAATTCTAGATCGAAATGTCTAGGAAGAATGAATCTAGTCTTTTGTAAACGATGAATACAAGAATATTGTATATTTTGAAAATTACGAGCTAGAAATGTCTCAATGCGTAGATAGAGGACAATATTAACAAATATGTCATATTCTACTCTAATTGAAAGTAATGGAACACATGCATACACGAAATGTACGAAATACATTCACCAAGTCCAGTCACTTCACGTATATAAATACAACCACGTGATCAAAATCTAGAGGAATTCAATTCTGAGAAATTGAAAATTACTTTTCATATTAATTTCACATTAATTTAATTGCGGAATTTTTTGTTAATATAAACATAAATTAAGTTACAAATTTGTTAATACTCATTTTCGTTAATAATAATAAACAAATGATGTGATAAAACTTGACGTCAACCGCCAACCAATAGAAATTATAAAATCTATCACGTGATTTGGTTTATTTATTTCTAGTAACCTGACTTGGTGAACATAGTATAGTGTATACATATACACTAATTATATACACAAACGTATATAAAATACGTTACACGGATACATGATATGAATTAGTGCATATTTTTAATAAATGGATAAAAATAAAGTTGAAAATTTTCTGATCAATCCGTGAATCGATCGATTCGATGCGGGATCACGTTCGTCGCGATGCGAGCCACTATTGTAATTTTCTCGTTTCTATTTTCTTGTTTTCGACACACGTCTATCATCCTGTGTGCAGTGACAGTGACCATATTAATTATTAACGGGAGAATATTATCTCCTGTATAATAATAATTGTCAATGATAAAATTGAAGTGTGAAAATAAATTGATTTTTCAGTCATAAAAATAATTATGATTTCTGATTTTATCAAATTTTATTTGAAGGAAATTCTGAAAAAATATTATTGAATATAAAATTTTAATTATTTTTTATTTCTTATTTTTAACTAAAATTTCTATTATTAGACTTTTACTAGAATTTTTTTTTTTGTTAAAAAGAAGTAACAATATTAGAAAATTTGATTAAAATAAAATCTACAATAAAAAAGAATTTTGGTATACTTGTGATTAAATAATAGACTTGATTTCAATTTTCACTTTATTGAATCTGTTTTTAAAATCTAATTTCTTCTTGCTTGTGTACCACCATAACGAACAACTGAAGAGACGATTGTCCACCTGGTCATCGAGGTAAATTGAGACAAATGAGATTTGAGGTTGTAACATTATATCCATTACTACACTTTCATTTTGATCACGCTCGGGATTTCAAATTCAATATGCATGCAATTTATATTTCTATTATTAAAAAGTTTATATAATTGTGAAGTGAAAATAAAAAATTTAAATAATTTTAGAAATATGTTTGTTCTTTTTATTAAATAATATTCTATACTTTCATCAGAAAAATATTAAATATTAATTCATTAATATTGAAATATAGAATACACTTATAGTTCTTTCAAATTTTTTTTCTTATTAATTTTCACTTCACGATTTGTACAATAATAGGTCACCATAAAGATTTTTTACAAATTTTAATTTTCTATCTACAATTTAATAAAAATAAAAATAAATTTTAAAAAATATATATATAGAATAAATAGATTTTATTAATAATCTTTATAGTAACCCATTATTTATCGAAACATCACACGCGAAGGGATACGATGGACATTCTATTAATTCTGATATTTATAAAAAACATATTTAATATACTTATAATTTCACATTCGTATAACTCATCGAAGAAACTCATTACACACATAATAACTTTCTTGCAATTAAGAAACTCGAATTAATATGTATTGTTCCTAATGTCACTAATAATTACAAAGTAGTCTAATACTGCTGTTTCCCTTGGGAAAAAAATTCCCTTGATATCGTAGAATTTATTTAGAAAAAAACATATTCGAACTTCTATTTACACGCTATCTTCACGTTTCCTCCTTGTCTGGTCAAATTTCACAGCGCTTTATAACATTTCTCTTAAAAACCACACAACATCGCTAATTTATTCGACATTCAATCATTTATAAGAACGAAAAACATCACGAATTAATAATTCGAAAACATGATCACTCGTACCCCTTCGCATCGAATTCCCATTCTTTTTTTTTTTTTTTTGTTTTTAAATTCTCTTGATTAACACGATCAAGATGGCGGTAAAATTTGAAAAATGAAGTAATTTTTATGACCCATCGAATTCCAGCGATCTATTAATCTATTTCAAGCCAATATTGGAATAATTTTATTATTTTTTCTGGAAAAGGTTCAGAAATATACAAGGTTTTTCGTGTAAATAGATATGAGCATGAAAATTTTCTTCATCTTTGACTATTTTAGAAATATTATTCCAACTATTTGAATGAAAGATCTAGTACATTTAATTTTATGTACATTAATTCCATAAATATATTAAAATGCATTTCGATAATAAATATTTTTTAATTGATATGTTTCGTTAACGATGTTACGATTTTCTATCGTTATATTATTTTTTTTAATTTTTATACAGAAATAATAAATACAAAATATTAATCCTGAAGCAATAAGATAAATCCGGCCTATATTTCTTTAATTTGTATCGTTATTCTAATATTTAATATTTTATTTCTAATCAACATATAAGTGATGTCATCAAATAGAAGCATCCCCCAATAAGTTATTCCACCATCTTGAGCGTGTTAAGATCGTAATAATCCCTCGTGCTATTTAATTTCTTACCACACGTTGAAATTTGGTCGAAAATTATCGGCCAGACATCTACATATGTATATTCAAGGCGGATACAAGGAGGACTGGGCAACGCTTCACGCTTACGTTTTTATTGTAATAGATTGTATTGAAATTTGTCGCACTCTTTTCGAAAACAAAAAGTGTTGCACGCATCTAGATATTCGATCCTTTGTGTGTCACGCTCTCTCTTTCATATTTCTTTTATATTTCCATCCATATTACTTATTTCATTTCTCCGTTTCTCTCTCTCTCT